CATAATAATATATATTGTTGATACCAGGGATAATATAAAATAAATACAATAATGGAGTTTCACCACCCTAGTGGTATGAAAAACACTAGTGAAAAACATATTTCACGACTACTGCATATCTCCGCGAATATCGCGTTTTTCACCGAGTATCTCGCCACTTCGCGTAAAACGGGTTGTGAAACTCCAATATACTATTCAGTTATTACTATTATATATAAACGGAAAGAACCTCGAAGCTTTAACAACTCTGGCGGGCATCCCTTCAATGCTATTCTCCCACACACCTATCTCCCATCACCCTCGCATCATGCAGCTGCCCTCTGCTCATCGATTGCCCGACAAGTCCCCCGCGGAGATCTTTGCCAGCCTCCCGGCTCAGACCAGGAATGTTCTTCTTGGTTTTGATGTTGACACACCGTAAGGTTACCACCCTCGTACTGCCTTCAACGTCGAGATCTCTCGCTGTGCTATGTAGGATGAGTAATGACCACTGGGCATTACCAATGCTATCAAAGTCTCTGAGAGGCGTCCCGGGCATCCACGGTGTATACTCTGATTACATCAACGGCCAACCTCTATTCAGCACTGACGATCAAGTGATGTCAACGCCATTAGTGCTTGCAGTTGAGCAATTTATGGTAGAGGTTGGGCAGTAGGTAGCATTAGAGAGAACAACATGATAGTATTTCTAGTTGAAGAAATTAATTCACTTATGAAGACCATACCATAACGAAAGTGAAGGAAAATCTAAAACAAAAAATTCAGGGAAAAACGTAAACCCGAAAAATTATTCTCCACTATCACCGATGATATATTGCAATGGGAGTAAGCCGAAAAACAACAGTGAAATAGTGCTATCAGTTTGTTAGTGTCACTGACATTGTTGAGAAAGGGGCTCTTTGACCATGGTCAGGTCCTCGATGGGAGTGGTGACTGTGCCGGCTTGTTACAGTTCGTCAAACCAGTGTCACCAACGAGTGTGGTCCTTATGAAGAGCTCTCAAGACCCGGGCACGATTGATATCATTACGCCTCAGAAGCGATGGGTTGTGACCAACGACTCTCAATCTGGCAATAGTGTTGACCTCTCGAGGGGATCTGTAAGGATCACTCGGGCTGGTCCACTGCTCGGCAGTGACCAGTGTTGGTGGAATATATGTTCGCTCTCTGCAGCTGAGCGCGAGGAGTTTTATCGCTTACTACAAAAGGGTTACGTATAAATTCGAGGTATAAAGAAATCAACAAGAATCTCCTAAAATTTCCTAATAGTATCACCAACAAATGTTGACGTATTTTTTCACACTGGCATTGATTCGTTTGATTCCATTGAAATTTGCATCACATTGTTGTAGGAAGCTCTCCAAGTTGGTTTGCGAGTAGGAGCACCATCGCCTGGCCACAATGCTAGCGTCGATCACATGTTGGAATATGCAGTCTACGGACCCCACTTCATCGGCAAGTCGGTCGCCCTCTTATTGCTGTGCTCCACGGCTCATAGGTATCTTCCCCATGCTGGGCCGAAGGGGACTGACATCTATTGCGTCCAACCATCAGCAGTGAAGTCGAACATGCACTGGAGCAAGGCCTTCCACTACACTAGTCTTGTGAATGACGCTGGCTATCAGCCTGATAAACATGAGATGTGGAAGTTCATGACTGTTGATTCATAACGTTGAGGTGTTTCCTATAGCACTCTGTTGTGTTAGTCATACCAAGGTAGATTGCCATCAGAAGATCTAGTGGCAAATCATTAGTGTGCAGCACGAGGCTATAGGATCGGACCGACCGTCAATGGTTGGAGGAGGTTCGGTCCGAGCTTTCCTAGCTGCATGGTGTGTTCGAATGAGCGACCGTCGAGATTGGGAGTCCTTATAACATGTGACTGAAATTTTTGGCACCTTCGAAGATTATATGATGAAATTGATGAAAGTTCGGAAGGCGAGTATGATCGTTTTGTATCGAATTCGTACTTCCGACTTGCTCACCTTGAGTCTACACACGAAGCTATAATTCAAACTATAATTATGCTATGATAGTATACTAACTATAACTATAATTCTAGTATAGACTTCGAACAAGATCGATAACAACGTAGGTGTACGGATGTAGTGAGGTTGAAGTTATCTAAACAACGACGAAGACGTATGTACGACTGAAAGTCTCTACTGCAATGAAAGGCACTCCCGAGTGGCACTCCTTGGAATCATGTTTATTTGCAACACCGCAACTGTAGGCGAATTATTGGAGTAGTTTAGTCATTTGTGTTGACCTTTTTTCTGTCACGACACCATTCGACGTTCAATTGCATACCATCGTGGAATGATCAAGTCGATCGGCCGAGTTGTGGTACTCATCTATGCATTGAGAGCTGTAGAGGCTCAGACTATCGGCAAGTGTAGTCCGCCAGTGCTGGTCAACTCAACTGCTGGTGTCATTGAGGTGGGCAATGATCGCGATTCTCGCATTCTCTACCACTCCATTTCCACTTCTCGTGAGATTCACTGTGATTAGGTGAAAGTCGATCCCATACCCACAGGATCCCCCACGGCTTGCCGGATCTACCAAGACGACTGTGCCGGAGGGAGCGCCTTTACGATGATCCTCGATGCGCCTTGTGGGAACACCGTCACGTCTACTGGTCTTACCCCTGACGTCACCTGCCGCTACTACTGCGAGGGCACCGCCTCTGCGGGCAGTGTAGTTGGCGAGGCCTCTGACATTGTCACTTATGCAGCTGCCGGGTTGCCAGTGTGGACGGTCCAGAACACCGTGTTTACGAAATACGATTATGACTGTATTAAACTGTCTTGGTCGGCCCCGGACCCTCAAGGGTCACCAATAACATGCTATTCGGTGACCCGAGACATGGACGCTGATGGCAACTTTATAGTGGTCTTGCCGTGTGTGCCGAACCCCAACCTTTACTCTCAAGTATTCTGCGGTCTATCGAGCCCGATATCATATCGCTTTCGCGTCTATGCCACTAATAGAGTCGGTACCAGCATCATCCCATCGGAGGTGACTGTGATGTTGAAGAACGTGTTCGCCGTGCCTGAGAGTACCGTCACGTCCTATGCGAATGTGGTCCAAGCTGGCATCAGCAATCAGGTGAGCTCATCCTAACGTGCCGGTCTCGAACATCAAGGCATCGCTAGCGTTATGGTTATATCGCCATTTGAAAGGTTCTTAATAATAGGCGTATGTGTGGGACAATATGAGCCCATTGTGGGAGGAAAATATGCATATGGTCAACTACATGTGTTGGTGACAGTATGAAAATTCCGAGGAACTCTTGCTGGTTTCTGTACACCTCTATATTCAGCGAGGGGGCTGAGGAAGTCAAACGTATATTCCTTCAACACTGGTCTTCATAGGTGGTAGTGCAAGCGGTGGACCCCCTGTCTGGTGCCAATGAGCTCACGGGCTTCTCGGGTACTCAGTATGGGAGCCGCCTCCTCGTGTTACGGTTGTTGAACCCGAGTAAGCTGGATGAAGTCACAAAAACCATTGAAGTAGACTTATGTCGTGTGCCGGGATCGAACCGGGGACCTTTTGAGCACTAGGTGCGACTGGTTCCCGGCGATGCGAATTACACTACTCAGCCTGATCCGATTCCTGTCGGCATGGCACCGATAACGGCGTGGAGTAGTGACAGTGGTAACGGACAATACAGCATCTACTACACTCCGACCGTCGTTGGAAGGTAAACCAGTTAATATAACAGCTAGGCGAGCGTATATACAGCGCATGTCAATTTGATATGCAAATGTAAAAAATGTGGGTTATTTTCTGAGATTAGTAAAATCCGATCTGAAACTACATCGCATAAACAACGTGAATATTGCTATGAACATATACTGTGATAGTGGTCATGTCTGGAGACTTAGTCTCCGAGGCTATGGTAGCAACAAGTTGCTTACTATCATAAATCCCGGGAACCACACATTCTCCACATTTGCATATCATATTGGCCTACACTGTACAAAATTTCAGCTTCGGTGACACGAAGATTGACTATACAATAGACAATAGACGAGATTACAGGGACAATACCGACTAACATAGTCGTACTCGATCATCCCAAACAGACGTACTGTACGAATATTACAGTATCATCTTAGTATATGATAGCTAATCATCATATCTATGCTCTGTTAAAGTTCCAGCCCAAAACTCTCATTCGTTAACGAGAAACGCAGATTTTTTGAATTTGCCCAAGGAAAAATACACTCCATAGATATACCATGGTGATTCGAAGTCTCGAACGAGGTGGTCTACAGGCTCAGTATTGGGATAATCAGTGGCTCTATGGTGTGCCTCATGAGACCAAACAGCAGCCAGATATGGTAAGAATCACCCAGGAACCTATAATGTTCCCGGGGGAGGAACTCATTTAGAATTTTTTCCCACGTATGGCTAGGAACACATTCTTCGATCAGTTTCCCATGTAAATGCCATCATCACATTAATAATATTTCCCTCCACTGTTATATCTCTCAGAGCTGGATGTTTCCTATTTTCCAAAGAATGAATCTTGCTGAGAAATTCCCGCCTTGGGCAACTCTGAATTGAACCGCGAGAGCACCACGTTAGATACTAGACTGGGAGAGAGGCGACCTTACAGGGTATGCCGCGGACTTTGTATCAGTTCGCTGGACTGGATTCATCCAGTCGGAGTTTTCAGAGGACTACACCTTCTATGTTGATGCTGATGATAACGCCAGGTGAACATCCTCCGGGTCAATGGATCGGATGGTTGTGGACCAGTGTTGGAGCAATATATGTTGGCTCGGGAGACTCATCGCTGATTATAAGAGTTTATATACGAATTAGAGTAGGAGTGTACATTGAGCGATAAAAATTTCCCAAAAATTTTCCTCGAAATTTTCGCATGTAGTTGACCATGTACATATTATCCCACACTGCTGTAGACAGTTTACTTTCATCTCATTTAGCCGAAACTGCAGTTTCCATGTGGCTCTAATTTTGTCGATTACTTTATGGTCAGATTGTGGGTAGATGATGTGCTCCTATTCGACAAGTGGAATATCTGTTGTGGTGGATTTTGGGGTAAAGCCCTGCTCACAGCTGGAGGCTACCACTACATCAGACTAGAATACCGAGAGCTCACTGGAGAGGCTCATATGAGGCTGTATTGGAGTTCCTTTTCCCAAGTCAAGGAGCCTATACCGTCCTCTAGAATGTTCCGGGCTCCTGCGATCACGGGCATGCCTATCGCGATCGAGGTTACGGTCGGCGATCTGCTCCCTCGCAACTGCTTTGCCTACGGTGATCAACTCACTGAGACGACCGCTGGCTTCCCGAGTGTGTTCTATATCCAAGCCCAAGATACTGAGGGTAACAATATGACCGATTCTAATGGAGCGGTCTTTGTGGTGGACTTGGTCGACAGTGGGAGCACCATCTCGGTGGTCTCGACTCCCCTGGATGAATCTGTGGGTCTTTACGCAGTTCATTATCTTCTGACCAAGGTCGGTACCTATACAGTGACGATCAAGTCGAGCGGTGTGGAGATAGGCAATTCGGGAGGTGCCTTGGTCGTGTCCCCCGGACCACCTGCAGCCTCTACGACGGTGGTCAGTGACGGTCTGGCTGGGCCCATAGACTTCATGGCAGGTGTGCCTAAAGTTGTTAAGGTGACGGTGAAGGATGTGTACGGCAACCTCGTGGTGGAACGATCTCAGGAGTCCAGCTTCAGTTTAAGTCTGAACTGTGAATGGAAGAACTACTCAGTGACGAGCTCATTGACACTACTAGACGACACGCCGCAGTTGACCGCTGACTTTGGTCGTTATTTTGAACTTTCTTTGCCGGCTCGGGCAACTATGACTACGGGAGTATACGAGCTCACGTTCACCAGTTTGCGAGCGGGAAATAACAGACTTCACGTGCGACTCGACGGCGAGCATATTCTGGGTTCCCCATACGACATTGTGGGAGAGGCCAATTCGGCGTCGCCGTTTGGACCGACCAGTGTGCTGCAATCGGTGGACCCGCCGAGCACGGTTCAGGCCGGAGTGTCTGTTAACGTCATGTTGCAGCTGAGAGATACCTTCGGGAACATCATAACACAGCCTAAGGCAGGGGTGAGTTGGGAGGAGAAACTTAGTTGTATCGATCTACGGAGTATTATCTAACTCAGGGAAGTTTGCGGGCTTTGTTTTTCTGAGAATTCAGCATGAATTTTCCAAACTCTAATTTTACTTGCTGAATCATTTTCCTGACCATTCTTGAATTTTTTGGAAAAACATAATTTTCAAAATTTTCCATCTATTCAGGTGGGAGTAACCGTGTCCATCGGCCCAGCGCCTTACGACTATGGTCTTTGTCTTCACGAGCTCTCCGGTGCTTTCCGTTGCATTATAACACCGCGGCTGGCTGGTAGCGGTAGGTTCCTCTCGGTACGGGTCGATAAAATTGACGTGTCCCGGCAGCAAGCGCTCAACACGAGCGCTCAGCTTGTCCAGGGACCATTCCAGGTTGAGGTTCTCCCTGGTAGTGTGGACCCGAAAAACTGCGAGTTATTTTACGTGAAGAAAATGTATGTCGCGGGGACGTACGAACCGGCGTTGTTGGTCTTGCGAGATAATTACACGAATAATCTACTTAGCGGTACGGCCAGTGTTGTGGCCAGCCTGAACGGTCAAAGCCTAAACTCCAGCTCCAATGGCAATGGGACGTACACGCTGATGTTGGGTGCTCCGACAGTCGGTCGCCGAGTACTGCTCATTGTTACTGTGAATGGTCAAGAGATCATGAACTCGGCAAACCTGACGGTGGCAGGAGTGAATATTGTACCGGCGTTCGCGAATCAAAACGGCACTCAGTGCGACATTCCGCAGACTTACATTGCTGGTGAATGGTCAGTCTGGAAGTGCTACCCAAGTGACTTCTGGAGGAACCATATTAACGCGACTGATGTCCATCTCATTGCGGAGTATTCTCCCCTTTTTGCTACGACTACCCCTGTTCTTCGCTTGAATGGTTCATACGAGACGACTAGGTCGGGAGACTATGTGTTCAATACAACTCTGGAGGCGGCAGGCTTTTACAGCATAGTGGTGGACTTAGGCCAACCAGGGGGTCTGCTAGGGGAATACTTTCGCGCAACTGGCCTGCAATCACTGGTCGCGTTGACCAGTGATCGGCGTCATTACAATGACCAGGTGTTCCCATACACTAGGCAGGAGGTGGTCGACCTGGCTTGGGAAGGGGTCGCGCCATATGATGATATGCCCCGAGACTACTGGAGTGCTCGATGGACGGGGTGGCTGCTACCGAATGCTACGGGTACGTTCAAGATCTATGTTGATGCTGATTACGCTGCAAGGCTGAAGGTCAATCATGTTACACTGGTTGATAAATGGGAGTTGGCCGACATCGACGGACTAGCGGTCTACGCCTGGGGAAGTATCTACTTGACGGAGAACGAACCGGTCCCTGTGGAGTTGCTGTACCAGCATAGTACCAGTGGTGCATTTGTCACCTTGTCGTGGTCCGGCGTGGACTTTCCGAAGCATCCTATACCTGCCAAGTATCTCCTGGGTCCCCTCAATGTCTTGGCTACGGACCAGCGCACAGTGGTTGTGGCTCCTGGCCTGGCCTGGGCTAACAGCACTGCCGCTGGGGCGGGCCTGTCTCAAATGACTGCTGGGATGATCAATACCTTCACGATGCAAACGATTGATAAATTCGGCAATACGAGGTCAACAGCGGATGACCCAGTTCAAGCTGAGTGTTGGGATACTAGTGTTGTCAATGAGCTCGCTACTTGTCGCTTCCGTGTCTTCGTTGAGGAGACCGGAAGCAGCGCGAATTTCGTCTATGGTAATTTCACATACTCCTCTGGGGGGCGTTACGTGGTATCGATAAGTCCGAGGAAAGCTGGACAATGGAATATGAGGGTACAGGTGTGGGTTGACCAGAAGAGGTGGGAGGATATTGTCAACTCGCCATTCAGTGTAGTGGTATCCCCCAGTACTGTGGTGGGCTCGAACACGCTGATAGAAGGCTCAGCTCAGACAGAGTGCTTTGCTGGGCGGGAAGCCTGCTTTAATGTCACCATGCGAGACAGTTTTTTGAACAACGTCTACGGCTTCATAGCGGAGGGAGCTGAGGACGTTGAGGAGGATCCACCCACGACCAATCTAGGCCCAATGACCAAATACTGGGGACTCGGCATGTGGCAGTATTGCTACGTTCAGACTACGGCGACACAGGTATGGACGGGGCTGATAGTGATGGTCAGAGGCACTAATATTTCTTTGAACATAACAGTGAAGGCTGCACCCATCGAGCCGTGGTTGAAGCTGAACTATGATTTCAATAAGAATCTTTCTCTTCGCGGGACAGCGTCAAGTGGTTTGAGTAAAGTGCAAGCCAACTTGTCGTATAATATCACTCTGACGGCCCGGGACGAATTTGATAATATTGTCACTGGGGACCCGACAATAGATGTTGCCTGTTTCGCCGAGGGACCGCAAAGGATCGACCTGAACTCGGCGCCGAGGGTGGACGTCGAAGGGCTCCTCCCGAGTCGAGAGCCCTTGTTTGTTCATCAGACAGGCGACAACGTTTGGCAGTTGGTGTCGAGGTATCCTGATAGCGGCACTTGGCAGGTCAGATGTTTCGTTGCTAAACAGGGAGGCCTGAATGCTAAGTATTGGCCGACCAAGGGTTGGGCAGGATACCCCACGGGCGAGTTCGTAGAGCCGTCGATGTGTCTTGAATGGGGCCAGGGTACGGTGGGTCCTTCACAGAGACTGGACGATGTTAGTATGCAATGGGATGGCTATCTACGGGTTGAATACGCGTGCAATTATACACTGCACGTTGAGGTCGATGAAGCCGCCTATATTTGGCTTGGAGATCGGCTGATACTGCGGGTGGAGAGTGCCGGGAGCTACGAGGTCTCTCAAGTATCCATGGTACCAGGAAAAATGACCCCGATACAGATCTCATATTGGGATGGAGACGGAGTGGCCCGTCTCTGTCTCTCGTGGAGTTGTCCGGCCTTGGGTGTTGCGAAGCATGCGATCCCGACTACCAGTCTGTTCCACTCGGGCATGGAGTTGGATGGTCTAAATCCTAGCGAACAGGTGACGGTGTACAAGCCGCCTGAACTGGTGAGTGCCTTTTACAGGGCCAGCCCATTCAATACGAGCGTCGCTATACTTGTCTGGGAGCCCCCCTATGATGATGGGAATGACGCTATAGTGAGCTACGCTCTAGAGAGAAGAGAAGATGCCGTAGGAACATGGACGACGCTGAACTCAACTCTGACGGTTGATACGCTATCTTACGAACAGACCGCGCTGAACAACAGCGTGCCATACTCCTACCGACTCGCAGCCTCGAATACCTTATTAGGGTCATCTCGGGAAATATCTGTATTTCCGTGCATGCTCCCTGATACACCGCCGACACCAGTGCTCACTGGAGCGTCCAGCGTTGATACGACTGGGAGCTTAACAGTCTTGTTGTTGGCTCCGATGACCATCGGCTGTGGCTCGAATACGTTGCCCCCAACTATAGGGTGTACGTTGGCGTGGAATGATGGTTTAGGAGGTAGCGTACTACGAAATGCGGTATTTCAGTCTACCAGTGCGAATTCGACGATGGTGCGGATCGACAATCTTATCTACGGGAGGGTGTATAAATTTTCCCAGACTTGGTTCACTCGTGTTGGCGAGTCGGAACCCTCGAGTGTTGCCGAGTTTACATGCTGCGACTGGTTGATACCAGGCCAAGTGCTGAACGTTCGGCGAGATTTCTCGGCTGTCCAAGCGAGTGACACAATAACGATCATGTGGGATCCACCGACTGAGGTCGGCAGCTCGCCTCTGGAACGCTATAGGGTCTATTACTCCCCTGGTAGCTATGAAAGCTCTAATGACACGTTGAACGCGAGCACAACGTCGTTGTCAATATCGGGGCCGTTTGTTGAGAGTGATTCGCCCAACGATGTTTGGAGGTTCCAAGTTGTGGCGATCAATGCGGCTGGAGAAGGGCCGAGAAGTGATCGCATTACACTGCTGGCTACCGCTCAACCGACTGCGCCTGTGGAACCGGAGCTGGGTTGGGTAGCGAGCAGCTCTAGTACGAGTATAGTGCTGAGATGGGATGCTCCGGCCAACACGCTCGTGTCTGGCTATAGGGTATGGATGAATAGCGGAAACAATACACCTGTGGATACGCTGGTCTACGACGGTCAGGGTCAGAGCTCAGTTTTCACCTTCGAGTACGCCCCGTTGCAGGCAGATGCTGAGGAGGTGGTTGCTCTGACGTCTGGCGATTTGTACACGTTCCGCGTTCAAGCTCTGAACCAGGCTGGTGATGGTCCAATGTCTGAAGACATCATAGTTTATGCTGCTAGCAGACCAGGAAGACCAGGGCGACCGCGGAAGGGTATCAGCAGTGCGGGGTCCATCTTGGTTGAATGGGATGCTGTTACTGATGATGGTGGGAAGGCTAGTAATTTACGGTATACTCTAGAGCGGTCCCAGATGGGAGGAGCCTGGACAACAGTGGCGACTGACTTGACTGGTCTCTCTTATACGGACACGGCGGGCATCAGCTCCTACGAGGTCTATCGATATCGTGTATACGCGGATAATGGCGTTACGGTGGGGTCAGTGGCGTATAGCCAAGAAAGTGATCTCATGGCTGGCTCGCCCAACGCGGCACCAAACGCGTCTTTTGTGGGCAGTACGGAGAGTTCCATCTCGATCTCATGGACGATGCCGAGTTCGCCACCGACTGTTACTGGCTATAGGGTGTACGTCAACTCTCTGCTCGCGTATGACGGTACGGGCAATGCGGCGACGGTGGAGTACACGTTGGCGAACTGCACGCTGGGTGAGTGGTACGATATGCGCGTTACAGCTTTGTCTGATGCGGGCGAGAGCGAACAGTCCTCGACCTGTTGTGTCAAGCCTTGCGGTAGGCGACCTAATAGACCCGATCCACCCGAGCTCGTGAGTAGCAATATGACCGCTATTACTCTGAGATGGTCCGCACCGAGAGACTTGGTCGGGTTGCCCATCACGGGGTATGTGGTCCAGCGAGCAGCAGCCGGTTCCTCCTCGTTCACGAATATCGCGGCCATGTACGCCAATATTCTGGAGTACACTGATACGACAGGGGTGGTGACAGGAAACGGGTACCGTTATCGTGTTTATGCTAAGAACGCGGTCAATGACCTCACTGCTTGCAATACGGCCGAGTACAGCGATTGTGATGGAGATGCCTCCGGACATCGGACGCTGTACGCATGCGCACCGCCAAGTCCACCTAGCAATGTTTCGAGGATTGCACAAGCGTGGAGTCCGACCGTAATAGGCATTAGTTGGTTCCCTATACTCAACCTTGTGGATAGCGGAGGATGTCCCATTACGGGATATAGAGTGTATGCCAATCATGGCTTAGACGGCTTACCACTGCATGTTGTGTATGACGGGGCGAACAGAGCTAGCGTGCTGGAGTACAACTTGACAGGTGAGACACGGTCGGTAACCTTTTGGAGGGTGTATGGCCTCAGACCTGATCTCTGGGCGCTACTACTGGGTTGCTATAGCCGCGATAACAGTGGCAGGTGAAGGAGCGATGACCCCCCGCGTGGCAGTCTATGCTGGGGTTCCTCATGGAAAACCTGGTAAGTATTCGGTGGTCGCCGCAAGGTGATTGTACAATGTTGCTGCCTTCCCCGCAATGATTATTCCATGATAATGTTCGCGTCTATAGTCGTTCACCCTGACTATGCACTCCTTCTGATTCGCCGTATTAGCAGCGGCTTCCTCGAACTCTGACCGACCAGAGCGTCCTTAGGTCGCCCTATGTACAAAAATACCGAGCGAAACTCGTCGGTGGAGTTAGCACTAAAGTGGACTTCTCCGAGTACGTCGAACTCTGGTCCCATAGTGATGTGGGAGTTGGAGCATGACGATGCTCTAATGGGAAGCAGCTCGGCCGTCAGCGTTAAGTCTTGCACCGTCGTTGGTAAGTTTGCCTGCCTTTGTGGAGCAGGTCACCCGTATAATATTAGATCCTTCCTATGTGATCAGCGGCCTCGTCCCTGGGCAATACTATCGTGTCCGGGTTCGGGCCCATGGTGTCTGTTCACAGAACAGTACGCTAGCCAGCTATCCTTGTCCGCTCGCTTGCACCACGCCGGGGGAATGGTCCGATATTGGGACCTTCGTGACGGGAAGACTTCCTGAGGACTTCACGATACAGGTCATGAGCCACCTCAGCACGACTACGAGTTTGACGGTTGGTTGGATATCTTGTGAGGCCGGGAGAAGACCAGGTTGGGCCTGTTGAGTTGTTTCCAACAGGTACCATCGGTAACACGACGACATGCGTCTCTTCGGCGGACCTTCCACTGACGGGCTTTACAGCATTCCGCGACGATTGCAATGGTGGTGATGTCGATATCCCTGTCAATACAGCGATACTGGCGACAGCGACTTCTTATGAGTACACTGGTCTCCCGACTGGCGCTAGGTAAGTTGAAGAGCCTATGGGGAATTATATAGACTGTTGCGGGCACATAGGTGTGGTTTCCGCATTGCTGCTAACAACAGTCGAGGGGGAAAGTTGAGCACTAATACCATATATCAGACCATAGTTGGACCACCGTCAGCTCCGCCGGCGCCAACCTGGAGTAGGACTACCGCTCAATGCTGGACCTTACATGCGGTCTTGTTGCAGAGAATTCGTCAACAAGCTTCGTGCATCTCAATACATACATCCCTTCGGACAATGGCGGCGCGTCAATCAGTAGCCTACGACTGTATAGGGACGACCCTCCGACTACGACATCGATCTCGGTGCTCATCACGGAGCTGACCAGTCCGTCTCTGTTTGAGGCCAAAGACCCCACCGTGTCGAGTGGTAGGGTGTATAGGTACCAGACCATCGCGGTGAACAGCGAGGGGGTGGAGTCGCCGCGGTCGGCGGTAGCCACTCTGATAGCGGCTAGTCCACCTGGGAAGCCAGACTCAGTAAAGGTGGTGTACCACAGTCGTAGTGCTCTACACGTGGTGTGGCAACAGCCCGCGTATACTGGAGGCAGCGATATCTTCAAGTTCACACTTTACATGGATGATGGTCTCGGTGGCAGTCGGGTGGTCGTTTATGAAGGTCCGACGACCTACAAAGAGTTCACCGGCTTAGAATCTGGTCTACAGTACGCGTTTCAAGTTAGCGCCACTAATGTGGTCGGAGAGGGCGAGCTCAGCGAGGTGGCCATCTTTAAGACCGTGG